TGTGCGTAACTGTTTGCCAGCCTTGGGAGAGGCACCTGTGGCGGCTGCTCCTGATGATTTCCCTGCTGTGGACTGACGTCTTATCCCTGCCTACTCCTGCACCACATGAGATAAGCATGTTAAGGAGGGCCAGCTGGGAACTATGGAGACCCTTGGTTTGCCCCCACTAACAAATCCCACCTGCTGAGTGTGGACAAGACTGTTTACATCTCAGGCATACTTCCCCTCAAGTGCCTCCCTCACAGCTGTGCCCGGAAGCCTTACAACTCGTTATCACATCCCCTCCCCCAACTCCCCACTCCCCTTGGCACTGTAGCCTGGGCGCACTGCCTGGCAAGCTACCTTCATTGAACACAGAAGCTCCGGGACCTCATCCTGTTTCTCCTCCTCCCTCTGGCTTAAAGAGATATAGCAATAACCTAATTTCACATAATTTCTGTTTGTGTGTACAGGTTATTGGTTTTATATAAGTCCTACTTATACCTTTTGTATGTTATAGACATAAAAGTTAATTTCCATTAAAAAAAGAAAGAGTAGGCAGTGCTTACCTTCTTCTCATCATAAAACTTACAACATGGAGCCAGCATCTTTTCAGTGTTTTATCTAATTGTCATACTCCTTTCTAAATTTGGATCAGCTCGCACCATTGTATTTTTTGTGTCTTCAATGTCTTGCAGTATCTCTGAGAACTCCTTTAATGTGAAGTTATCTTCTTACCAGCTTCACTTCCTTTAAGACATCTTCATTCTTTTCTTCACAACTATTTTTGTCATTTAGGCTGTTAAGCTCACTGTCACTAAGTTCCTCTGGCTGCATACTGAGTCTCTCAATGGCAGCAGCATCAACATCCCTACGGCCAGCTATTCTTCTGTGACTCCATTTATTTATGCTGAGTTGAATTTCACATCCAATGCTATCAATTTTCTTTCTTTCTTTCTTTTTTGGACAGCTTTTTTGGACAATTCCCTCTCTCAATTGCCTATCTTTATAAAATGTCACATGGGTCTATCGCTGGGAGACAAAAAGGCAACACAACTACATGTTTTGTTGTCTGTGGAAACTGAACAAACAACAAATGCAACAGTGATGGACCACCAGTACACTAAGCAAGAAGTGATCAGGTTGGATACTGATCATGATGTACATCTGTTATTTACAAAGTGATTTAAGAAGTGATGAGCTTGCAGCAAAATTTGTACTTCATGTCATTATTCACAGTCAATCTACCATGGGAAGGAAAATTTAAATTGTTGGCTGGGCGTGGTGACTCACACCTGTAATTCCAGCACTTTGGGAGGCCAAGGCAGGTGGATCACTTGAGGTCAGGAGTTCAAGACCAGCCTGGCCAACATAGTGGAACCCCGTCTCTATTAAAAATACAAAAATTAGCCAGACATGGTAGTAGGGGCCTGTAATTCCAGTTACTCGGGAGGCTGAGGCAGGACAATCACTTGAACCCAGGAGGTGGAGGTTGCAGTGATCTGAGATCAGGCCACTGTACTCCAGCCTGGGGGACAGAGTGAGACTGCCTCAAAAAAAAACAAGAAACAAAAAAACCTCAAGTTGTTCGGGCACTGACACTATTCAACTAAACCATGATGACTGAAATTCCCATATATTGGAATCTGTACAGTAAGGGTTACCCTTGTAGACATAATCAAACCCTGGGAGAGACTCCACTTTTTTTTGGTTATATTAATTACTTTCCTTCCTTGTGTCTCTGGCCTCAAAGGCAGTAGAGGGCAATGGCTTAACTGATCCTGGAGTTAAATTGCCTTTCTTTACAGAGTAGTTTGTTGGTTCCTATCCGTGACTTGTGTCACACCTGTTTTTCTCTGTTCCTCTATTTTCTCATCTGGTTAAACTATAATAATAACTATCCCTATCTTGTAGAGTTTTGTGAGCACTGCATGAAAGAACCCAAGTAAAACCCTCAGAATGTATCAATCACAGAATACCAGACCAGTAAGCACTTTCTATTTTAATGACGTTATTACTTATAGTGGGTAGTTCTGAAAAGTTATTTATTTGACAAATATTTATTGATTTTCTGCTATGTATTTGTTGCTGAGAATACAGTGGGGAAAGGTATTTCCCCACAGAGCTTACACTCTAGTGAGGCAAACATGATTTGTTAATTAAAAATGAATATTCATTTAAAAAGATAAAAAATAAGCCTATGGAAAGATAGAATCATATAAAACTAATAGAAAAATAATTTTAGGTAAATCATGTTAAATGCTTTCAAAAGTGAAGTTGTAAAACTGGTAAGTGCAGAAGGAAAAAAATAAGTGAATTTTTTGGACACCCTAAGAGCTCTGCCCCTGCTTTAGGTACTTGTGAGTCACCTTTAGTCTTTTCCAACACAAATCTTTAAGTCTTCCCTTTAGGTAATTATTTCCATGATCATGTATTTGCCCAGTTCTTGAAGTGAAAGAAAAAAAAACTATTTTACTAATGTATACTTACTGCTGTTAACAGATCTAAATGTTGACCAGGCAGTTGGCCACCTCAGTAACCATTGCAAGCCTGTATCTTCTTTTGTAGATGAATGTGTTTGACTATGTCATCCCAGACTTTCCTTATGATAAGTCGGGTATTTACTCGTATAAATATTTCAGGAAGCAATACAAGGAGACTTGGAAAGAATGCTTGAGGAGGAGATAGATCTGTGTCCAGATCCTCCTCCTGTAACACTTACATGTGTTCTCCCTGTTCTTTAAGCAGGAAAACAAAAAGCACAGTTCTGCAAATACTTTATCAGTGCAGTCTTTCCAGATTTGAAGTCTTTTAGAGAGGACCTAAAAAGGGCCAAGCAAGGGGCTGGCAGAGTAGCTGCCCTGTCTTTAGAATGCAGGCCGTGAGGGGCCCATCGGGCTCTCACTGTAGCACGCAGCTCTGCTGTGACGGAACGTGGGAGGAAGCATTCTCCATGAATATATTTGTATTTTGAAGAACCTTAATTATAACAAAAGTAGTATTTTGACAATTTTCTCAACAATGTGGAGGAAAGGAAGGTTGGTGCTCAAATGAAGTATTTCCTTGATTATACTGAAGGTTCTCTTTATGTGGAGAAGGTTTTCTCGCAATGTGAGGCAGACCGCTTGGGCATTCAAGGAGAAGGGGTGGGTTTCACAAGGCAGATTAGCTGCAACCATGTGAGTGTACAAAAGGAATAATGAGGGTAAAACCGCACAGTAGCGATTGTGAACTTTCTGCTTCCAAATTCTTCCAAGCTTTGAAACATAGTACAGGGCCTGCTGTCTCTGCAGAACAAACAGTAATAGTTCCAGCTGCATCCTCTCCTATACCACCCACTATTCCTTCAAAGAACTGAGAATAGGAGAAGCCAGCTTTCAAATAAAAAGTGCATGTCGTTGGTGGATCAGGTGGGCATCTTGGTGCAGAGGGGTGGGGTGTGTGGCTTGTGAAATCAAGTTACACTGCAAGCCTCAACTTCTTTGTTTTGAAAAATGGTAGTGCAATCTTCAGAGAAATTTAAAGAATGCTCAAAACACCAAAAATAAAATTTAAAAAGAAAAAGAGGATCAGCAATAAAGCTATTAGGAAGTACATGTCAAAATCGAGGATTAATTAATTCGACATATTTTTAATGGGAAAATACTATATGCCAGGCAGGGCTGCTGTGTATGACCATGCAATGTGTAGAATGCAGAAAAGCACTTAGCTACTCACAAAGAAACTGTATGGGGTGCTGGAGGCCCTGGAGTCAGACAAGTTTTTCTCTCTGGAGTTAAAATGGTGAATCAAATAGATGTCTCTCTCCTTGCAAAGTGTACATTTCAGTGCAGGATGAAGACATATTAGGAGACATGTATAGGATAATGTGTTGAATGTCATGTATGTAGAGTGTCATGGGTGCATGGAAGAGAACCCTGATCCACAGAGTATCCTCCTAGAGCAGGTATAGCTGGCAACATGGAGGACAGGCTGACAACTGTACATTTGTTGCTCAAATGACATATTTCCTGGATTATTCTAAAGGTTCTTTGTATGTGGAGAGGGTCTTCTCCCAGTGTGAGGCAGGGAGCTTGGGCATTCAAGAAGGGGTGGTTCTGGTTCCATGAGGTAGATTAGCCACAACCATATGCCTGAATAAAAGAAATAATAGGGGTAAAACCACACAGTATGTGAGCAGTGGGAGTGCTTCAGACAAAGGGAGAGAAATTGGCAAGAGCGCCAGCAAAAGAAAGGCCTGATACTTTCAAGCCTCTGAGTGAATTCAGTTTTATTTGGAGCATCAAGAGTAAGGATGGAGAATGAGCTAGAGAGGGATATAAGGGTGGGCTTGCTCACACACAGTGCAGTTGACCATGTTAAGGTGTTTGGAGCAGTGAGTGAATGTTTGCAAGCAGGAAGCGGGGAGGGTCACAGGATCTGCATTTTGCAAAGACCATTATGAATGTCAGGTCCAGTTTGATTTGAGAGGAACAAGAGGAGACAAAGGATGCATACCACACATTGTAGATTTTACTTAGGAAGTTTGTAAATAGTCTATTAAAAATTTAAATAAATTAAAAGGGAATTAGTTAGAATTGAAAGTAAAATTACATAAACGACACTACCCATTTATCCATTTGGTGACAAAACCACACAGAGAAAAGTTATTCTACGTGACTTAAAAAAAAAAACTTAAATGATTGTGTAATCCCAGTGGGATATACCCCAAGGAAAAAAACTCCCTATAAAAAATTACTTAAACTGTTTCCGGTAATCATTCAAGGAAATTTTAATACAATTATTATGAGATTTTAATCTAATATATGTAAAGCCATAAAACATTGTAATTTTAAATGCTCCTTCTGTTCTTGTTTACACATTTTAGAGACTTTAACTTTTTTTATTTTTAAGGGAAAATATGTGAATGACATTTTTGGTGATAACATATGGGGCCCAAGGGTAAAGTGGGAAGATAGAGACAAAAAAGCAAAATTATTCTACAAATTAAATAATAAGAAATTTCTGTTTTCTCTTAGCAGCTCAACAAAGAAGGAGAATTTGAGGGAGGCTGAACTCAGAGAAGAGAGGTGGTAAAATAGAGAGAAAGGTGTCTGGAGAGATCAGCTACACGGTAGCCAGCTGAGACCAGTAGAGGACAAAGATCATTATGGATATTCCCTGCAGCAGGAAGCAGCAAATGAACTGTCAAGCCAGTGAAGTCTGACACCCAATTATAAGTTGTCAAACATATACATAGTGTCTTTCCATCATACCTACATTTGTTAACATTATTTTTATTGACCTTCTGTTTTGTGTCAAGCACTGATATGCTAAACCCTTCAGAGTAAGTATGGTGCCTTCATGACCTGACTATGTGATTGCAGTCAGTGTTTGGAGGAATGAGGGAGATAAGGGAGAAGTAGGGCTGTGTGTATTCACATTTTGGGGCACAGCAGTCCCCAGACAAGCTGGGGACGTATGGTGAGCTAGTGACGAGGTGGCTGGAAAGCCTAGATGAGCAGCTAGAAACAAGAGTGGAGAGAGACACAGTGGACTGGGAGTGGGAGAGAGAGCTGGAAGTCTTAATTAAGATTAAGCCAAGAAGTGTGGCAATGAGACGTTGTCACTCTGAGATAGGAAGCAGAGTTAGTCTTCATATTATGCCATATTAGATACTTACAATTGCTTGAGAGTCATACCTATGGATGTAATCCCAGATATGCCCCAACTAGCCATGAGAATTATGGGCAAGCTATTTCGTGTCTCAGAGCCTCCTCAATTTCTTACTCTGTATGTTTCTCCTTTGTTCTTGTTTGCCTCATGGTACTTGTTGGTTCCATCTGCTCCTGCTCACACACAGCCAGTGGATTCACAATATACAACGGCAGAGGCCCAGAGGTGGCAGGCTTCACTCTCAATCACTAATTTCCAGACAAAGCTGGAAAAAGAAGTTGATGGCGGGAGCTGGGTGAACTCATGGTATTTCCTAAGAATCCCACTTCCTTGAATGCTCAGACAGATCCTGTTTGACAGACTTTCCCACGCCCCAGTATCTTGGCACCATTTGTTATGTAAAAGTTTATTTGGGGACAGATGGGATTTCTCCAAATCTTTCATTTGCCTGGCCAGTCTAAGACAGTGTCCTTGACATGCTGTTGCTGCCTGCCCTGCTCAGCTTGGCATTGCTTGGCAGTCATTGTGTCTGTGCAATCCCTCATTTCCTAACATCAGGCTAAACGCAGGGATGTGGGCTGACTCACAACCGACGGGTGCACTGAGAACTGGGGGAGCACAGAAAGGTTGAGAATCACTGAGCAAATGACCAAGTCTTTGAGGATTTTAAATATATCTGAAATTTTAGAGCAATACAGCCAGTCCCTGGAAACAGGGTTAAACTTCAAACTTAAACATTGTAACACTTGTCTGTGAAGTTACTGTTTTGCAATGCTTAAAATTCCCATTGACACTGTAGGGCTGAGAAACGACCCATTTTTACTTAAAGCAATACGTCTCTCATTCACCAAGGCAACGCTACCTTTCTATCATAAATGGAACTGAAGTTTTTTTGTGCTGCTACCAAAAATATGCTGAAGAACATCTATCACATAAACGAGATTCCTTAATTAACATAAAGATTTTCCAGCATTCTAAAGAAATTGATTCCTCCTAGTTTAAATAAGAAAAAGTGTCTTTCTTTTAAGGTATAAACAATGATAATTGTAGAAGGATCAAATACGAAAAGAAATTTCTCCTGAAGTAATTTCCAGAGATTGTCATTTTCTTAAAGACCAGACACATGCTTACTCACACCTACACACACACAGGACTAATACAAATTAGAGCTAACTGGGAAAATCTCAAAATTTTTTGCTAATTTATGTCATTGTTGGTTTTTTCTCCCCTACAAATGGCAGCAAAAATGAATAAAATTGTGATTTAATTTTAATGTAAGGTAATATAAGGTTACCAGGGAGAAATATGTGGAGTTGCTAATCCCATACATTTAGTTGTTTAATTGATTGTTTTTATTATATTTTTAATGCAAGAAAAGTGACATCAACTTGAAGACACCATAAGATACTAACTTCATATAGAAACATTTTTTGCTTCTGTGATTTTACTTTCTCATAGCCACACATTTAATAATAATGCATTAATAGTGATGCATTTAAAAGTAATGAACAAAAATGTTAAGTGCATGGTTTTAGTGGTAAACCTAAGATGTGACCCAGTCTGTATCTAGACATTTTCCATTAGCCTTTGCTCTGTCTGGTATAAGAGAGATAGCCACTTGTAACTTAAACTGAAAAAGGACATCAACTTGTATTCCCTGTGCTCTTAATTAGTGTTTCCTACAAAACAATAAGAAAAAGCAAATAAATAGAAAAAAATGCACAAGGGATATGAAATCCAGTTGCTGGAAGAGGAAAGTTGATGGTCAATAAGCACATGAGGACATGTTCAACCTCACTTATAAAAAAGAGAAAGAAAGCTTAAAGCAACAATATGATGCCATTTCTTACCCACCCATCAGATAAGCCAAAAGTTAGAAGTCTGACCACCTGAGACTGGGTAAGGACATGGAGTGATGGGAACCCCACTCACTGCTTGTAGGGTGACACATCTATATGTATACTTTGAAGGAAAGTTTGGCATCATCTAGAAAAGCTGTATATTTTTTTATAGCGAAATATTTTTAGTATATAAAAAGGTAGAGAAAATATAATAAACCTCTATGTATCTTCCATCTAGCATGAAAAATATACACTGAAAATGCTCTGTTTACCTTTCCTTTTTCCTCGTCTCAAGTGAAGCCACTGTCTTGAACTTGGCATTTGTCATTCTCATGCTTATTTCACTACTTACATATGCATCCATGCACCATATCTTTACCTTTACATACATGGTATTACATTGTATATTCCTTCCTGCAACTTGAGTTTCTTCTGTGTTTTTCCCTTTTTCTTGCGGTAAATTGTATCTTTATGAAATTTATCCACATGTTAATTTATCTATATATCCATGATGTATGTAGCTGTAGCTTGTTAATTTTAAATTCTTATAGTGTTTCTTTGGTAAATACACTGTAGCTCATTTTTTAGTCCCCATACAAGTGATCAATTAGTTTTATTTTTCCAGGTTTATTTTATTTATTTTTTGCTCTTATAAACAATACTGCAATAAGCATTCTTGTGTGATATTTCCTGTGAAAATGTGAGTTTTTCTGGTTCTGTATTGTACTCTGCGGAGTAGTATGGTGTAGTTTAGAAAACTTCTCAACCTTTAATATGCATTTGAACTTTCTAAAAACACAGATTCTGATTCAGTAAATCCAGGGTGTGAATAGAAATTCTGTCTTTCTAACAAGCTCCAGAGTGATGGCAATGATGCTGGTCCATGGACCATGCTGGAGGTTTATGGGACCTGAATGCTGTTTGCTTTCCAGGTAGCTTCTTAGTACATCCCTGTGAGCAAACATCAGCATGGTTGTAATCTCCTCATTTATACCACAAATGGCATTATTCTTGTTTATTCTTTAATACTGAATGGACCACTTTTCACAGTATAACCTTTCCAAACAACTGAATACACCATAATAAAGTCTTTAAGAGATGCAATAGCATATCTTTTTTGTTTGTTTGGTGAGACCCAGTCTTGCTCTTTTGCCCAGCCTGGAGTGCAGTGGTGCAATCTCAGCTCACTGCAACCCTCACCTCCTGGGTTCAAGAGCTTCTCCTGCCTCAGCCTTCAGAGTAGCTGGGATTACAGGGACAGGCCACAGTGTCAGCTAAGTTTTTGTATTTGTTGTAAAGACAGGGTTTCACCATGTTGGCCAGACTGGTCTCGAACTCCTGACCTCAAATGATCCACCTGCCTCAGTCTCCCAAAGTCCTAGGATTACAGGCGTGAGCCACTGCACCTGGCTGAGATACAATAGCATTTGTTTACAAAGTCTTAAAGTTGTCATAAAACACTCCTTGAATTTCATGTATAGGTGAAGTTATATGGCAGCATGGGCCAGGCACTGGTGCTGGGCATATATAATGCTGGAGTTAAAGGGCTGCGATGGCATTTGCCCAGGGGACAAAGGCTGTGTCCCTTGTCTTTTATTTTCTTAACTAATTGGTGAAATGTGTTTGTTTGGAGGTTTTTTGTTTTGTTGTTTTGTTTTTTGGTGTGTGTTTTAATAAAAATGTAATGAATGCACTTGGCAAACAAAACCAAAGTTATGTGTGAAAAAGAATGGAAGTAAGTCTCTGCCCACTCTGTGCTCTGGGCCCTCTCTTTAGAGGCAAGTGTTGCTGCCAGTTTCTTAGACACAGTAGCAGACAGACCTTTACGGTGGCTTAATGACTGCCAACTTCTAGTTTCCCACCCTTGAGCTCTCCCATCCCTTGAGGAGGGCAGGACCTATGACTTGCTTCTGACCAAGAGAACACAGGAAAGGGGGTGGATTATATGTGATGATGATTACGTGATGATGTGACTGTATTATGAAGACTGTAGTGCTGTCTTACTTTAGTTTCTTGCTTGCTTGCTGACCTTGAGGTCGTGCAAATGGCCATGTTAGAAACTTCATGTGACAAGAAACCGTGGGCAGCTGGTAGGAGGCAAGAGTGGCCTCCCATGGACAGACAGTACTGATAGAGGAAAGCGTTCAGTTATACAACCACAAGTATTGGATTCTGCCAGCAACCACATAGGTTTGAAAGTAGCTCCTTCTCCAGTCAAAACTCCAAATGAGAACACAGTCCCAGCCACCATCTTGATGGTAGCCTTACTGAGAATCTGACTAAGCCATGGCCAGACTCCTGACCCACAGAAACTGGGAGATCTGTGCCTGTTGCTCTAAGCACTAAGTTTGCGGTGACATTGTTACACAGTAATAGAAAATTAATACAGTACCTTTCCATAAATAGTATGTGCAAAATATTTATACATGCTTATTTTTGCTCCAATGTTGAAATTATTCAATATGGTCATGTATACATCTACCTTCTTAATGTTTAAGGCTGCATAATATTCCAGAATTGAGCATTCAAATTTTATTTATCCAGTCCCCAGTTATGGATTTTTAGGTTGTTTTCCTAAAAGACCCCACTCTGTCACCAGAAAAACATAAAAGTGGCTGCAATGCCTTGAGACAGTAAATTATTTTTTAACAAACTTCTCTTTTAGTTTCTACTGACCTGTCCACTTAGTCTTTTTATTATTTTTCCAGCTGAGGTTTTAAGCAGGGTCGCTAATTATCCTGGATTGCCCAGAACTGAAGGGTTTTCTGGGATGCAGGATTTTCAGTGTCAATGCCAGGACAGTCCCAGAGAAAAATGGGACAGTGTCGCACCCTATAACCCCTTTAAAAGTACAAATAAAAGGAAAAAGGAGAAAATCCCAAAAATCGCAGGTGACTTCCTCAAATCACAGCCAACAGAGAAGGAAGAGCATTTCCGATACCAGCCTTCTGCTGGCAGAGGGTCTGCTCATCTCAGCTTGGGTTTCCCTTTGAGGCTGCTGCTAAAAGTAAATATGTAAGTTTCATTCTCTAATGCAAGAATGA